AGAGAAGTATGACTGACGCGACCGCACCCTCCGAAGGCATCGCGATCCGCCGGCCGGATCTCTCTCCGGCCCGGGTTCGCCGGCGTTACGCCGCCGAGACGCGCTTCAAGACCTATGGGCGTCTGGCGATCGCGGCCGCCGTGATCATGCTGGGCATTCTGCTCTTCTCGATCGTCGGACGGGGCTGGATCGCCTTCTTCCAGACCCAGATCGGGGTGGACGTCTTCCTGGATCCCAACGAGATCCAGATCGAACGCAATGCCGATGGCGAGATCATCGACATCGACGGCGAGTTCCGCAGTCTGGTGAACGACGCGCTCTTCGCGCTCTTTCCCAACGTCGAGGATCGGACGGAACGGCGTGCCCTACGCAACCTCGTGACCCGCGACGCGTCCTTCGAGCTTCAGGCCGCCGTCGAGGAAAACCCGGATCTGATCGACCAGACGATCCGAGTCTGGATCACCTCGTCCGACGATATCGATACCTATGTGAAGGGTCAGATCACGCCCATCGAAACCTTCGAGGTGGCCGGTGTCGCGACGCCGACGGGAACATCCGGTGAGATCGAGGTTCTGACCGGAGCCAACGACTTCGCGAACATCGCGGACGAAGTTAAGACGCGGCTGGCCGAACTGTCCGAAGATCGTACTGCCGCTGCTGAAGCTGCCGGCAACGCCGCTCTGCGCTTGCAGGACGACTTGGTTGAGGTGCGAGAGGATCTGGCGGAAGCCGATGCGGAAGACATCCCGCGGCTCGAAGAGCGCGCTGCGCGGCTTGAAGCTCAGATCAGCTCGCTGACTGCCAATGCCGAAGCCGCGACCAGGGATGCCGAGGATCTGCGTGCCCGCTCCGTGCGTGTCGGTGGCATCGAGGAGCTGAACAACCGTTTGCCGAGCTATCTCGTCGCTATCAATGGCGGTCTGGTGAAACTGACCGCCGTGGCGCCGGCGCGCGCCAGGGGTGAAGTCCTGATTCCTCTGGAGTCCGAGGCCAGTGTGCAGCCTGAGGACTGGACCCTTCTGTCCTACGTCACTGCCGAGTCCGACCGCCGCGTGAAGGACAACGAGGTGGCCTGGATCGAAACTCTGCGCGAGCAGGGTCAGGTCCGAACCGTCTTCAACACGCCCTTCTTCACCGAGGCTGACAGCCGCGAGCCGGAGCAAGCGGGGATCTGGGGCGCGGTGGTCGGTTCGTTTCTGACGCTGGTGATAACGCTGACTCTGGCCTTTCCGGTCGGTGTTCTGGCAGCGATCTACCTGGAGGAGTTCGCGCCGAAGAACCGTCTGACCGATCTGATCGAGGTGAACATCAACAACCT